AAAAAAAACAAATGTTAAATAAGCATGAAAAAGAACACTAAAATAAAATGAAAATTACGTAATCACTAATATATCATTTTCATTCTTCTGATATGGTGTAACGGTGATAGAACAAATATTAAAATAAGCATGCAAAAAGAATACTTAGTAGTATTAGTTGAATCTTATTGTATTTTTCAAAATCAAAACTCGGGGAGGATAATTGGCCGCGGTAGGATGCTTGATGGTCTCTACTACTTTGATGAAGGTATCTTTAGTAATAAAATAACTCAGGGTCTTAGTAGTATTAGTTCTCTTCCTGTTAGGGAACAAATTATGTTTTGGCATCGTAGACTAAGACATCCCAGTTTTTTCTATTTAAAATATCTGTTTCCGAAGTTATTTAAGGGAATTGATTGTTCATCTTTTAATTGTGAAAGTTGTGTTTTAGCAAAAAATCATCACTCCACATATTTTCCAAAACCTTATAAAGCTTCCAAACCATTTTACTTAATTCACAGTGATGTTTGGCGTCCTTCTAAAATCAGTACTCATAGTGGAAGAAGATGGTTTATAACTTTAGAAGATCCAAATTGGAAACTAGCTGATCTTAAGAAAAACCTGGCAAGTGAGTTTCAAATCAAGGACTTGGGAACATTAAAATATTGTTTAGAGATGGAATTCGCGAGATCGAAGAAAGGTATATTCGTTAATCAAAGAAAATATGTTCTTGACTTACTTGGAGAAACAGGATTGCTTGGTTGTAGGATCGCAGAAACTCCTATTGAACCAAACTTGAAATTACAAGTAGCAAACACAGAATAAATAAAGGATAGGGAACAATACCAGAGACTGGTGGGAAGATTAATTTATCTGTCACATACGCAACCAGATATTGCATTTGCTGTAAGTATGGTAAGTCAATTCATGAATGCACCTGGACCAACTCATTTTGAAGCTGTCTATAGAATCTTGAGATATTTGAAGGGAACTCCTGGAAAAGGTATGTTATTTGAAAAGAATAACCACTTCCAAGTAGAAGTTTATACTGATGCAGATTGAGCTGGAAGTACTACTGATAGAAGATCTACTTCTGGTTACTGTTCCTTTGTTGGAGGAAATCTAGTTACATGGAAGAGTAAAAAATAAAATGTAGTGGCCAGGAGTACTGCTGAAGCAGAGTTTAGAGCATTGGCTCATGGAATTTGTGAAGGTATATGGATCAGAAGGATGCTTGAAGAATTGAAGATTCCTAAAACGATACCTATACAGATTTATTGTGACAATAAGTCTGCCATATCTATAGCTCATAACTCTGTGCTACATGACAGAACCAAACATATCGAGGTTGACAAACATTTTATTAAAGAGAAGATTGATGCAGGTGCAATATGTATCCCTTATCTTTCGACAACAGAGCAAATTACGGATGTTTTAACTAAGGGACTTCCAAAGAAACAATTCGACAATTTAATCAGCAAGTTGGCTATGGACGACATCTTCAAGCCAGCTTGAGGGGGAGTGTTGGATTTATCAATATTCGTGTAAATATTAGTTGTCAATATTAGTTGTTAATATTTAGTCTTTATGATAGTTATTGCTTTCCTTGTCTGTAGTAGGTCATTCTCCTATATAAGAAGACCTAAGTTACATGTTTGAATATAACAGAATATTTTCATTCACTCAAATTTACAAATACTAATAGAAAACTGAAGTTACATCATCACTAATATACTATTTGTATTCTATTGATATGGTATATCAATGATACACCAGATAGTAAATGAACATGAAAAAAAAAATACTAATAAAAAATCGAAGTTACATAATCACTGATATACCATTTTAATTCTATTGATATTGCATATTAGTGATAGACCAAATACTTAATAAGCATGTAAAAAAGCACGGATAGAAAACGGAAGTTACATAATCCCTTATATATTATTTTCATTCTACTGACACAATACATCATGGAGAGACATCTATCACCGACAGGTCTGTCATTGATAGGGTCTATCAGGGCAGACGTGTACGACTGATAGATGAATGATGTTGAGATATGTTGATGGCATTTTTTGACTTTTTCACACATTTTTTATCCGGGCTAGGCTTGAAATTCTACTGTATTTGCAATTTTTTTAGCTTGTGTTAGATTTGTTGCTATTATTTAGAGCCAAATTGCTATGTATGCAATTGCCCAAAAAAAAAATGATATACCTAATATGAACTTCACCGTACTTGTCATTTTTACAAAATACGTTATCATGTGATAAATTTGAAATTATTTAGACTAAATATGCTATTATCACAAAATTCCCTTTATTATTATTTTTTAAAGCATCCTACCTATTAGTTAAAATCAATTAGGCTAAAAGATAATTTACCAACAATTGATATGTGTTCTCTGCATTCTTTTTCTCCATTCCGGAATTTGAGAATCGAGTAGCCATAGCTTGTTTTGAATTCAAAGTGGACTGCTCAAGCTTTTCAAAAACCTCAGCATCACTGCACTGGAAACATAATATCCAAATTAATAGTAAAACAAATATAGAACAACTAAAGTAACACTACATATCAAACTTTCAGCAGTTTCAGATGGTAAAAGATCATGGAATTATTTTATTGCATCTGAACTACATATAATATTAAAAAAAATATATGTATCTACCTGACCGAGAAGGAAAACACAAAAAGCCTCCTCAAGTTTCAGATCTACACCCTCTGATGCTATAAGACATTCACATATGGTTTTTGCTTTTTCAATCTACATAAGAATAGTATAAGATATAGCATTAATTAAAAGGAAAACAGCAATCCACTCTTATGTTTTTAGTGACTGTTCTTCATTCATTTCCGTGGAAAAATATTTTAAGAAAATTAATATGCACATGTGCCAATAAACCAAAATTTTCCATTATGCTATGATCAGCTGCAAAAATGAAATTACCAACTCTGTTTGCCTGCTTGAAAACCCAAGGGCCAGGTGAGCTTTAAAAGCCATATAGAAGCAATTAAAATCAACCACAACCCTTTGGTTCTGTGACTCGATTGATTTTTTATTCTTTCTTACAAGGGCTAAGTCACCCCATGGAAGAAGATCAACTATCTCTGCAGCCATTAGTCTACCAAGTGCTTGGCTTAAGAAGCACGGCCAATCTTGAACCTGGCATGATGTTTCCACATCAAGGCCCTGTCTCAGCAATTCACGTAATGCTGCAATTGCTCCTGCTCTCCGTTCAGTATTCGCAGGTAAGTTAGCCATACCCAACAACTCCAATGTGCAAGCAGGTGCAAGTTCCTCCAAAGATTCTTCAATCTGAAACCAGGAGAAGCAGTCTTCATTTGGTTTTTCTTTTTCCAGGAAAAATGTTAAAAATGGAAGGATATAGCAGATCAATCATCTATTTAGAAATATGTAACATCTTAAATCTTTTTTCTTTTATGAAAAACTAAGCTTTGATTAAGAAACATGAAAGAATATACAATGGGCAAACAAAAAACTGAGCCACACAAAAGGAGTCGGAGCCCTAACTAAACTAAGCAAAAACGAACTTCAATCCAAAAGAATAACCCTAACTGGCAGTTATAAAAAGAGTCGAGATACAGATGTACATAAAGAAGTACTAAAAACACCTTCCTAAACCTCTCATCATGACCTTTCTCTACCTCTAAAGATTTTGTCACTCCTCTCAAGTCAAATACCCCATAACATGGCAAAAAAGCAAGCCTACCAAAGACTCTACCCTTCTCACAGAGAGGAGGATTTGAAAGAACCCCCTCCATCATAGCAATTCCTATTCCGCACTCAACAGATACCAAACGACCCAGCATCCCATTCTAAAGAGTCTCAGCAAACTCCTAGGTCTAAAGGACATGGCTAGGATCCTCTTATGCTCGTTTACCCAAACAGCACCACTGTGGGCCCAACACGAGATTAGAGCACCTCTTAATACAATCCAAAGTGTTCATTCTCCCAAGTAAAACTTGCCACACAAAAATATTTGACCATCTTGGGAATACTTACCTTCCAAAGAGAGGCAAAAGAAGAATCCCCCAGGGGGAAGAAAGGACACAAAGGATTTGGAACAAAGAACTACAAGAAAAGTCCCTATAAGGGTGGGGGATCCGAAAACAAATATCCCTCCATCCCGAACAAATGTGGTGGTTCTTTAACAATGAAGAGTTGTCACCTCTAGCGCTTCCCTATTCGAGAGAGGGAACAGAAGCCTAGACTTTGAGAGGAAGGGAAAGAGCCTAAGGAAGTCATGACAAGGGCCACCAAATGCAACCTCATATAAGAGAGATGATACAAACAAGGGAAAAAGGTACAAAAAGGTTTATCTCCCGCCTGACAGTCCTCCCAAACATAGATATCCAAGCCATCCCCAATATATCATTTCATATACTAAGAAAGAGGGGAAACCTGATAGAATCGCATTCTTAGACCCATGAACCAAGACCCGCTCGAAAGGGTTCGGACGATACATGCTCACAATGATCCTATGCCACATAGTGTTAGGCTCAATAAAGAAACGTCACAACTATAGCCAACACAGCCTCGTTGCAAAGTCTCAGGTTACCAATGCTCAAATCCCTCTCAACTAAAGGTTTCGTGACCACCTCCCACCTAACCAAGTGTGACCCACCCCCCTCGTCAACTCCTTCCCAAACGAAATCCCCAAGGATTTTTCAAGAGAGACGGTAGGTTGGGACTTAGAATAGACAGGATAAGAGTTGGTCTACCCCGCTGGGAAAGAAATTCCTCCACCAAGAAGAGAGGTGTTTTTTAACCTTTTCTAGAACTATGTTCCAAAACGACACTCTCCTCATATTACTACCCAACGGAAGCCTAAGATAAGAAGAAGGAAGGCTACTCGCCTTACACCCCACTAGAGACACCCAATAGTTCACTTTAAAAGGCTCGTAATTTATCCCAATAACAAAACTATTTCCCTTATTAATGTTAACACCAAGATAGCCTCAAAGAAGAACAAGAAACTATTCAGATTAAAAAACGACCTTTCAACATTACTACCTCCCTAGGTACTCTTAACAAAGTCTCGACAGTACTTATCTTGTCTCCATAAGAATAGCTATATCAGGATGCTCTAAAAGCAACAACTCCTTCACTATATCCTTTTTGTCCCTCCTACCAAGCACTAACAATCCAAAAGACTACATTCATACCTTTCAGTCCCCCACTTCTAAGAAGCCCTTCTTCCTTCGTAATAATCATGCGTTCAAGGTTTCTCAACTCTCTTGACCCTTTTCTCGAAGATCCACCCTTTTTGCTTTGCRCCCTCCTCTCATCGATAGGGCTAGAGGAGGCTCAACCGAAACAATTTGGCGGCCAACAATATTTAAGAGAGTACACCAACCAAACCACTCCTTCAAAAGGCATTCTTGAAACGATACTTCCAGAGGGTTAATCATAGGACCTCGTCCATGAAAGTTATTCCCTGTAACCATTAATTGGCCCGCATGGCACCCTACACTCAAGAAAGTCAAACACGAAACAAAAACTAGTCCAATCTCTCTGTTCGAATAAGTCTCAGCGGTAGAATAGGCATAACCCTTCAAATGCTACAATTTACGGGGGACGACGATAGCCCAGAAGAAGCACCACTAAACCCCAAGTGAATTGTTGGCATGTGCTCTTATGTGATGAATTATTGGCATCTAATTTTCCAACAACTTCATCTTCAGCGGGTGTTCTTTCTTCAATGACTCCTGTAGTAATATTTCTTACTCCTCACTAGTCCAATTTTATCTCCAAAAGCCCAATTCTTTCGATTTTTCAAAGGGGGCAACATACAGACTTTCCAAGTGGTCACCCAACTCAGTGCTACTCTGGACCAAACACACTTCACATCAGGGTTTTAATAGGATTCGGTGCATTAGTGGCTTTGGGTTAATGTTATTAAAGCTATTTCACAAATTTGGGAGAGAAAAAATAATTATTTCTCATATATACTTTAATAATAAGACCCTAAGTCACCTTAAGTAGAGGTGAGAAACAAGTCAAAATAAAATCTATCACAATAATCTACTAATTACAAATAATAAAAGAAAAATAATAAATAAGTATTTACAGTAACTATTTACTAAAAACACCATAAAACCAACACTCCCCCTCAAGCTGGTTTAAAGATATCTTCCATTGCCAGCTTGTTAATCAACTTATCGAATTGCATTTTTRGAAGACCTTTAGTCAACACATCAACAATTTGCTCTGTTGTTGGCAGGTAAGAAGTACATATGACCCCTGCAGTGATCTTCTCCCTAATGAAGTGTTTGTCAACCTCAATATGTTTTGTCCGATCATGTAGGACTGGATTGTGAGCTATGGACATGGCAGCTTTGTTGTCACAATAAACACGAATAGGTGCCTTATGAGAAAACTTCAATTCTTCTAGTAGCCTTTTTATCCATATACCGTCACAGATACCATGAGCCAACGCCCTAAACTCTGCTTCAGCACTACTTCTTGCCACTACATTCTGTTTTTTGCTACGCCACGTAACTAAGTTACCTCCAACAAAGGAACAGTAGCCAGATGTGGATCATTTGTCAACAGTACTACCAGCCCAATCGGCATCAGTATAAACTTCAACCTGTAAATGGTCGTGCTTTCTAAATAGTATACCTTTGCCTGGAGTTCCTTTCAGGTATCTTAAGATCCTATGAACAGCTTCAAAGTGAACTGTACTAGGGGCGTGCATGAATTGACTTACCACACTAATAGCAAAGGTAATATCGGGACGAGTATGAGACAAATAAATGAGTCTACCCACAAGTCTTTGATATTTCTCCTTATCTTTAACTTCTTCGTCTTTCGCAGCTTGCAACTTCAAATTTAATTCCACCGGAGTTTCAGCTACCCTGCACCCAAGTAAACTTGTTTCTTCAAGTAAGTCAATAATGTATTTTCTTTGATTAACAAAGATCCTTTTTTTCGATCTAGCAAATTCCATCCCTAGGAAATATTTCAAAGTACCCAAATCTTTAATTTGAAATTCACTAGCGAGTCTTTTCTTCAGAGAGGCCAATCCATCTACATCATTGCCTGTGAGAATAATATCATCAACATATACAATCAACACATCCATTTTGTCATTTCCACTATGCTTATAAAAGATAGTGTGATCTGCTTGACTTTGAAGGAATCCATAGCTAGTGACTGCTTTCTCAACGTTCAAACCATGCTCGAGGAGACTGTTTTAGACCATAGAGAGATTTCTTTAATTTGCACACTTTATTCTTTCCAATATCCATTTCAAAACCGGGGGTAAATCCATAAATACCTCTTCTTCAAGATCTCTGTTGAGAAAGGCATTTTTCACATCCAATTGGTAAAGAGGCCAATCTAAGTTAACAGCAACAGATAGAAGAACTCTAATGGAGTTAATCTTAGCAACGGGGGTAAATGTTTCCTGATAATCAATCTCATAGGTTTGGAGAAAGCCTTTAGCTACCAACCTTGCTTTGTATCTCTCAATGCTACCGTCAGCATTGCATTTTATAGTGAAAACCCATTTGCATCCTACAGTTTTCTTCTCTCTTGGTAAATCTACAATGTCCCATATGCAATTCAGTTTTAGAGCGTTCATCTCCTCCGTAACTACTAATTTCCAATTCGAGTCATTTAGGACCTCCTGAATGTTCCTTGGAATAACCATGTTATTTATCCCAGAAGTGAAAGTTTTATGACTATCTGAAAGGTTTTCATATGAAAGATAATTAGCAATAGGATATTTAGTTCACCTACGAACACCTTTTCTAAGAGCAATGGGAACATCAAGATCAGACACATTAGGTAAGTTGTTTTGAATGGGAGATGAAGTAGGAATAGGAGA